AATTACGTGTTGGACAGATGTGGGGTTCTTAAAGGGAACTTGACTATGGAAGGATTAATTGAAACTTTTAACCCTCTTCAGTGTATAACCATAATGATTCTCTCAGGTGAAATTACAGATAATTTTAGGAATTCTTAAGAGAAAGTAGCATCATAAATATGAAATATTGGAGCATAAGATATTTGTATATTGGTTAAATTCCCTAGAGCAATGCTTCTTAAACTGTGGGTCACGACCCACAGTTTAGGAAGCACTGAAGGGGTTGTGAGTGAAAAAAGTTTAAGAAGCCCTGCAAGAGGACTTTGGATGCAGAAAGAATTGAAGAAATTGAATAGATCGATTAATACCTAGCTGTTTTTTTTTCTTTTCTGCTAGAAAAATATGGATAATAGAGCTCATTTTACATCAACACTGCAGAGTTCTGCAGATAGGAAGACATAGACCACTAGAAGTTATTTCTGGCAAACATGAAAATAAATGTTAGCATTTTTGTGACATGTATGTTTCAGTGACATGTAAAGAAAAGTGACCTTTGTTTAATGTCTCTCCCACACTGCCACAATAAAGCCAAAACAGTGTGCCCCAAAGGAAAAATCATTGAAAGGGACCTTCTTTCTCCTTTTTTAATGAGAGAATTAATTCATTGTGAAGAATAGTAACTTGGGGTAATGATCTTTAGCTAAACTAACTTTAACTTTGGCAAAAAAAAAAAAGTACAACCAGGACATGGCTGTTTTACAGCCACAGAGAGGCAAGCATTCCCCACCTTCTTTGCAAACCCTTCAAAAATGTAAATAAACTATAAAAGCCATGTGTTTAAAATGAAAGTTGATGCAAATAGGCACCAGCAGGCCAGCCAAGTGGCACAGTAAATAGAATGGTAGGCCTAGAGTCAGGAAGACCTGAGTTCAAATCTAGCCTTAGACCTTTACCAGCTGTGTGATCCTGGGCAAGTCAATTAACCTCTGTCTTCCTCCATTTCCTCATGTATAAAAGGGGGTTAATAAGAGCACCTGCCACTCAGAGTTATTATGAAAATAAAATGAGATTTTAAAAAAACACTTTGTAAACCTCTACATCAATGCTAGCTATTGTTATTAAATGATATAAGAATAATTATACGCTGACATATATAAGGATATATACCTTACTAGGGTACAAATCAGTGCAGTAGCAATATTTTCTTCTTTAAATTATCTATCCTGAGGACCTCCTCAGGATGCAGCAGGAATCTTGATTCCTTAAGAGAGATATCCAGCTAGGGCAACAGACATGTTCAAAGTCTTCCTCCACTCTCTTTGTAAAACAATCTATTATTACCTTCAAAAATACAAAAAAAAAAGTCCACAGTAAAACAATGACAAATGAAGATCTTAAACAATCAAATCTCAGAAAAGGAAACAGAACCACCTATTAAAAAAAAACTCTCAAAGAAAAAAAACTCCTGGTAATGATTGATTTACAGGAGAATTCTATGAAACTTTTAAAGAATGAGGAATCCCAATACTACACAAATTATTATCAAAATTGAAAAATAAAGCATTCTGCCAAACTCTTTTTATGAGACCAATGTAATCCTAATGCCTAAACCTGGGAAGGATAGAGCAAAGGAATACAGCAGACAAATATCATTAATGAATGTCAATTAAAAGATTTTAAACAAAAATCTGTCAGACTACTGTGGTTTGTCCAAGAAATCACTTATTATGGCCAAACTAGATTTATACCAAAAATGAAAGGATAGTTCAATATTAGGAAATCAAGCAATATAATCATATTAAAAACAAAATCATCCAAAACCACATGAACATCTCAATAGATTCAGAAAAAGGCTTTGACAAAAAGAAAAACACTCACTTATGCTAAAAAATAAAACCCTACATACATAAAAAGGATACACATAAAATGAAATTTAAATAAAATAAAAATTATCTAAAACTAAAAGCAAGCATCATATGCAATGGGGATATTCTAGAAGCTTTCCCAAAAAATATAGGAATAAGCAATGATACCCACTCTTCTGCTGTTATTTGATATAGTGATAGAAATGCTATCAATATCAAAAAACCAGAAAGATATTAAAGGAAGGCATGAAAATAGGCAAAGGAGGCAAAACTATCCATGTTTGCTGATGACATAGTGCCTTATTTAGAAAATCCTAGGAAATCATCAAAGAAACAAAGTTGCAAGTTACAAAATAAGCCTCCAATTTCCTCGATTTCACACTGCTTTCAAAGTACTAGAGAAAAAAAACTATCATGGTAATACATGTATGCATTACATCCAAAGAGAGACATATCTAACTGCAGTAAAAAAAAAAAAGTCAGTACACACAAATTGATTATGTTTCCACCCACAAAAAATTTTTTTTCAAGCACAGCTGTCTGCCTGTGGGCCTCGTTTTCATTTCCTATAAAGTAATAGTGGATTAGGTTATCCCTGAGGTCCCTTCCAACTGTCAATTTCTAATAATACCTTTTAATGAATAATATATTTGGATCCCTTGAGTTCTACAATAGTAAAAATAACTACAAGAAGATATTATCATAATACAGGATTATACATATTTCTAATAAATTCTAAATACTTCCATGAACACTTTGATGGATATCTGAACTCATCCATGCAACTATTACCTCCACTGGAACTGGTCAAAATCCAAGTATTTTTTATCACTCCATAGACTTCCATGCTTTCCCATGAATTCTTCACATAAAGAACATTCGATATAGAGAACCTTCTCATGATACTTCGTGGATTCCAGCAGAATATGTGGGATATTCATTAGTTATCCCTCAATCATTCTACATACTCAACTTACCTCCTTTTCTAATTATATATCTCTTTGACAGTTTTTTTTCTTTCCCTATCCAACACTTCATCGGCAATATGTTGGAGCTAGCCATACTTACCCTCTCTACTGCCCATTGGATGCCTTACAACCAAAATTTTAAATAGCATTTTATTTTTTCCAATTACATGTAAAGATAATTTTAACATTCATAGTTTTTAAATTTTGAGTTCCAAATTTTCTCTCTTTCTCCCTCACCACCCCCTTCCCTAAGACAGTAAGTAATTTGATATGTTATACATGTGCAATCATGTAAAACACATTTCCATAACTCATCATAATGTGAAAGAATAAACAGACCAAAAAGGTGAAAAAACACAAAAATAAATAAAAGTAAATAACATTCTTCAATCTGCATTCAAACTCTGTCAGTTCTTTCTCTGGATATGGAGAACATTTTCCATCACGAGTCCCTTAGAATTGTCTTGGATCATTGTATTGCTGAGAAAAGCTAAGTCATTCACAGTCGGTCATCACACAATGTTGCTGGTTCTGCTCATTTCCCTTTTCATCAGTTCATGTAAGTCTTTCCAGCAGATATCCAAAATTCTTTGGAGAATAATATATCATGTGACTCAGAGTCATACAAATTCATCAAGCTATCAATAAGCATTTATTTTATTCTATGTGCCAGGTATTGTGCTAGTTGCCAGGGATACAAAGAAGGAAACAATCCCTATTTGCAAGGAGCTTTGCCAATGTTCAGAAAGATGAACCTTTTTTCCAGAGAGAAGTTTGGGATTGTAAAAATCACACCAATTTCCTAAAGGCAATCCAGGCTGCTCTATTCTTTCTACTCAATTCTAATCCCATCTCATTCTCCATTCATTGTATCTGTACAATATATCCACAATAATAAACCTGCCCCATGCACCAGCCATCCCACTAAATATTATAGTCTCAAAAATCAGTATTATTCAATTATTTGTTTTTTTTTCCTGAGGATGATAATCATGCTGAGAAATTTTAATTGATTACAAACTCCTTTAGAAGTTTCTCCAAAGCTCTGGACTTTGTGCAGTGAACACAATGTCATCCACAAACAGGAGTATCTTGAAGACTATTGAGGTTTCCTCTTCCTTTTGGACTCTGCACTAGACCCCATCTATGATGTTAGCCAGCGCCTTTTAGAGAGCCAGGAGTATGTATGCCTTTTCCTCTGAAATTCATCAGAGTGCCCATGCTTTGCAAAAAGTGGACATTCTCTAAATATTAACATGCTAAAGATGGACTGTTGGCTAAGATTTCTGGATCTGATGGATCCTGAAAAAAGAGTAAAAACACTTAAGTATAACTAATAAGCTGATATGCATTATGTCTGGTAGAGATAGGATTGGGAAGTCTATTCAGATTTGATTTCTCAGTCAAGATGTAACAAATGGCAGCCATGAGAGTACTTCAGTACCAATTTATATGAGATCATGGACAGGGATAAAATGCTGACCATTTTTGGCAGATCAAATCAGATTTCTCCTCCCCTTCTTTGTTTGATCTGGGTGCCAGACGTGTGAACATCAAAGGGGAGATTTTGGTATAGACTCAGTCCACTTTTTCTTCAGTGACTAGACAATGGTTCAATGAATATTTAATACTTGCTCCCCCAACCTTCCCTTTTCAAGTCAGAGCACTTTATATGTGTGCCTCTGAAGCTGGATGCACAACTGGGTCTGAGATAAGCAGTTTTCGTAGGACACAGGTATGCAAACGCACTAACCAATCAATCAAACGAGCATTTGTAACATATTGTGATATATCCGTAATGGACACATTTGGTGTAACTGGTGGTATATTTTTCACATTAGCTGTTTCTTAGGATTAGGAAACCAGCATAAATCTTTTCTCATCCCTCCCTGGGTGTATTTAGTCTAGTGCCAAGCAGAGCTCAGATTAACATATGCTTACTCAGGATTAAAGATGATTTTTTTCAACTGTACTGGTAACAGTGAAAGAGAATCAGAACAGTTCAATGGCTTTGTCCCTCCTGGTTTTGTTAGTGCCAACAACAGAATCTAAACCTCTATTCCCCATCTCCAAAAAAATTTAGCTTCACTTTCCAGTAGCCTCATGTTATAACCTTTCAAAGCAAAGTATCAACAAAAACATTTCAAAAGACTTAACTTTGTTAACTTTTTCTCTTTACTCACTGCAGTGCTACATATGGCTGCCCCATGGCAAAGAAGAGAAAAACCGAAGAGCCAGCCTTAGGCGTTCCAGTCAACAAAAGGAAATCCCTGTTAATGAAGCCTCGTCACTACAGCCCCAGTGTGGAATGCAAAGAGGAGAATGATGACCAAAGTGAGACAGAAGAAGATGATTGTCTCTTGGAGACAAACGGCCATCCCATTGCAGGTAGCAAAGAAGATGGGCTTAAATTGCATATATCCTCAGGCACTAGTGGAGGGGTAGCCAAAAGGCTGTGGAATAGATGCTTCAGAATCATTGTGAATGGCATTTATTTCCAAATCAAAGTTTCCAAAGACCAAAGACTGTTATTTCTCCTTCCCAAGACCACAAAAAAAAAGGTGGCGGGGTCTCTCTTTGTGCCCCAGAAATGATGTGCATTTCTTGATTGGAGCTATCAAAACAAAAAAGTCAAACTTAAACTCAAAAGCATTTTCATATGTTATTACTCAGAAGGGAATGATTCTTTCCTTCCTTTCAACTTGCAATATATATATACTTTTCTAGGCAGTGGGGTTAAGTGACTTGCCCAGGTCACACAGCTGGTAAGTGTTATGTGTCTGAAGCTGGATTTGAACTCAGCTCCTCCTGAGTTCAGGGCCAGTGCTCTATCCACTGCACCACCTAACTGCCCCCAACTTGCAATACATTGGTACTTGGAATATTTAGTAAAACCAAAAAGTCTGAGTGGAACCTGGGGACATATGAAGGAGCATAGTTCTGGTCCTTACAGTCTTCTCACCAGTAATCAAGTTATTTGCAGATGATTTAACTATAACCAGTTTGTATGAGGCAAGAAAGTGCTAGATTTGGTATCAGAGGATCTGTATTTGAGTCCATGGTCTGGCAAACAAAAACCATGGGACCATGTTAGTTTCCTCATCTGTAAGATAAGAGAGTTGGACTGGATTGGCCTGGATAAAATAAGAGGATTGGATTAATTCGGTGTGACTATGAGATCAAATTCCATTCTCTTCCCTGGGTCCAAATTTTCTTTCAACTCTGGTTATCATATTCAGCACTTTTTTACAGTTTAGCAAGTTTCTCCCAGTCACAGGTTATATTCTTAGGAAAGTATGCTCATTTATTCATTCAGGCTATTTATTGTACCACTTACCATTTTGTGTATTAGCATTAAATTACAGAACATGGATAAATAGAATTCAATATTCCATTTTAATGACTGCAAGAAATAGTCAGGAACTTATCAGGAAAATCCAGAGTACAGACACTATCAAATAAACAAAAAAAAAACCTAAATAAAAACCTGTACTTCAATGAATCCATGTTTTCCTCAGGATAACTACCTCCTCCACTGATAACAGACCACAACCTTCTCTTGTCTCCTTATTCTGCATGATTTCTGTCTGTGTTTCCCCAACAATTCTCCATAAAATGTCCATCTGATTTGTGGGAAGCCTCCTTTGATTATGTACGTGGGATCAATGCAGCACTTAATCTGTCCATTTGTTGTTTTTCATTCTACCACATCACTGACCCAACTCATCTGATCATAGATACTTTCACTGCTTTTATTCCACTTTTTGTGGAGAATATACTGTTTCTTATTTATTCCCATTGCCCATCTTTCCTATGAGCTACATGTGATATTCTATCTGTAATACAATCTTCTAAGATTGTATTATTTCATGATTCAGAGTCATGTACCAACACCAGAAGATTGTTGGTATTAAAGATATTGAATTCAGGGGCAGCTAGGTGGTGCAGTGAATAGGGCTCGGGCCTTGGACTCAGGCACTTGACCCTTACTAGCTGTGTGACCCTGGGCAGTCACTTAACCCCAATTGCCTCATCAAAAAGCAATATATATTATATTCGATATACATATATATCGAATTTTGTGTCTGTCGAGGATTTGAGATGGAGACCACTTTGCAATTTCCTAAATATGACCAAGCCAGGTTTATTTTTTTCAACCAAGTTCATTTTATCTCTCATTTTATCTGAACTCACTTGCACATATGCATATACATCATATTTTAACTAAGTCAACAGGCTGCCTATTCAACTGTATATCTTAGGCTGGGAACAATCTGTCTTTTATATATTTTTTTTCCAATCAGGATGATTAGACAAATATCTTTTGCATTTCTCTGCATTGCCTAGAAGACTTTGTAGCGTTTGATAGCTAGATTTATGCCATATAAAACATAATATTTGATAAATTAGAAAATGAAACAAGGAGGGGAAAGGGAAGTGAATGAGCAATTATGAAGTGCCAACTATGTGCAGGCATTGTGCTAAGCACTTTACTGTTACTAATATTATCACATTTGTTCCTGACAACAAGCCTGTGAAGTAGGTGCTATAATTATCCAATTTTATAGATGAGGAAACTGAGGTAGACAGAGATGTCTACCTACAGAGTGTCTTGCCCAGGGTCACACAACTAGTGTCTGAGGTCAGATTTGAACTCAAGTCTTCCTGACTCCAGGCCCTGCATGAAAATACACTACTACAAAGAATATAGAACAATATTTCTGAATTTAGCGTATTTTATATAAAAAATAATGTGGCTAAATGAGTTGTTAGTTTTTTTAAAAACTCTGTTACACAAATAAACAGCAATAAGTTTGTTATTGCCTGGATTATAACTAGTATAGTATAAGTAATAATAATAACAATGATGATAATCATTAATAGGTACAATAATAACTAGTGATAAAATAAACTAGGAGAATAGGACTTTACAAGTTTGGGGCTAGGGTCCTGATTCTTTTACTCTGAAAATAGCTTAAAACTTCTATTTAAATTCAAGCACTGTAAGATCCTGACTTCTAATTTGGTATTTTCAAAGCATATTTATATATTTTTCATACATGTGTTTATGCTGTTAAGATAGAAGGCTAGTCTCCATAGAGATCTTCTCCATGGCACTTAATATAGTTGATACTTGAAGTCTTTCCCATCTATGTGCACCTATGCAGCTGAAGGGTGGGCCTTACCTGCTAGCTCAAGTAAGCTATAGTCAGTCTACTCATGTTAACTTGAAGCATGAGATGAGACTTAATGGGCTCTTCATTTATTTGACAAAAACCTCATTCTTTCCCCAAACACCATTGGGACTTCAAATATTATCAGGCTTTTTCATGAGCACTTGATTCCCAAAATAGATTCAGCCAAACATACAAGTCTAGCCATTGATGGCCATCACTGTGTTTTATTTACACCTAACCTAAGAATAAATTGGAGAAGAGAGAAATGTATTTGCCTTACACTCAATTAAGCAGACATTAAGTAAGTATTTTTGGGTTTTCTTCCCCCTTTTTTAACAGCATTACAGGACTGGCAGACAAGGGGAAAGCTAGAGATAAAATAAACCTGGATTTCAACCAAGCATTTCACAACGTTTCTCATGTTATCTTTTTTGACAATATGGAGAAATAAGGTTAGATGACAATACCCTTAGATGTAATTTGTTTAATTACTGGATCCAAAGAGAAGTCATGAATGACTTGATGTCAGCTTGGAAGGAGGTCTCTAGTTGAGAGCCCACAGGGATCTGGCCTTGTTTCTGTGCTGGCCAACATTTTTATCAATATCTTGGATGAAGCCAGAGAAGGCAAACTTATAGAATTTTCTGGTGATATGCAGTTCAGACAACTATGTCCAAGAATTTTTAGGGTTCTGATATGGAAATTAGTTTTGGTTCTGCTTAGCTCTCAAGGCCAGAACTAAAACAAATAGATGAAATTTAGCCTTGATGTCAAGAAAAACTTCCTAAAGATTGGCTCTGTTCAGAAGTGGACTGGGTCACTCTTTCAGTGGAGATCAGTTAGTCAAAAAACATTTATTAATCACCTACCATGTCCCAGGCACAGTGTTAAGCCCTGGGGATACAGAGAAAGGTAAAAGACAGTCCCTGCTTTCAAGGAGCTCACAGTCTAATGGAGGAGACAACGTGCACACTATAAATAGCAAGGACAAATAGGAAAGAGTCAACAAAGAGAGGGCACTAAAATTAAGAAGAATTAGGAAAAGCTTCCTGTAGCAGATGGGACATTAGCTGGGACTCAAAGGAAGCCTAGCGGTGAAGATGAGGAGGGAGAGCATTCCAGGCATGGGGGGAGGAGGCTTAAGAGGTTATATGCCTACTGTCAGAGATGTGCTAAACTAGACACGTAACCACATAGCTTTTGAGATCACTTCCAACCCTTCACTTCTGTGATTCTTTGCAATAGATATGGTTTAAGTTCATTCAGGCAAATCATTTCGCTAATTTCAATTATCTATACACTCTAAATAAAACATTACAGAATATAAACCTTAAAATAGCTATAAAGAAAGAAATTATGTAAAATAATAGGAAAAACATAAAAGGGAAATAGCTAACTAACTATGACTTCTTCTTCCCTCCAACATTTTTCCCCTACCTCCTCAAACCTTAGTAATTGCCACCCTTCCCCCAGTACTTTTCTCTGCACTGGGGACAAATACATTTCAGAAATCAGGCTGAGCAAATTCCTGCACTATGAAACCACTGGACAGAGTTGCTAAGTGGCAGGTTTTGGGTGTTCCATTCCCTACTCAAAAGTGTGAAAAATAAACATTATACTTTCCATCCACTTAGTAATGCCCAACTGCCCACTGGAATAAAAGTTTCCTTTCTAACCATCTTTGCTAATTGTATCTCTAGATGGATAATTCAGTTGAATAGCACATGCTAATGAAGCCAAGAAAATTAGATTAAATTTTATGAGGTCTTAGCACTGTGCTATGGCTACATGTCACATACTTATAAAAACCCAGTCAGCCATCTTGTCATTCCATGTTATTGATCACATGGGTAAAAGAGTAGCATGGCACAACAAGAATAACATTGAATTTAGAGTCTGAGAACCTAGTTTCAAATCCCAGCTCAGCCCCTAGCTACCTTTGTGACCTTAGTCAAGTCATTTGACCTGTCTAGGTCTTAGTTTCCTCATCTTTAAAATGAGGCAGCTGGATTTAGTGACCTCCAAGTTTTCCTTACCAGCTATGATTTTATGAACCATGGGATTCAAGACCATGTGATCTGCTGGTTGAGCACTTTGGGTGGAATACTGATTCTGGTGGGTCGTTAAGGCTGTTTTTTATTACTCTAAAATAATTCCCTAAGGTAGCATATTTCACATCTAACATATATTGGTTCTGTGAACCTGGATAATTCATTTCACTTTTCAGTATCCACAAGCAATTTTAAGACTCCTATGTACTTAGCTGGTGTCCATCTGCATCAGTGGAGGCAGTTTACATATCAGTGAAATCCTAAGTCCAATCTAAAAAACGTAGTTCTCTAACCCCAATGGACTGGGAAGTTAATAGACATCTAAAAGAAAATTATTTAATGTGAAAGATAGAACAGACTTTAAAGAGCACCTAGCCCAACATCTTCAATTTACTGATGAAGAAATGTCTAAGTGGTTAAGTGACTGATTTGTCCTAGGTCACACAACTTAGAAGTGGTTTAGTCGGGACTTGAACCTAGGCCTGCCAACTCCTAGTACATTATACATCTTACATACATTTTCAGGAATGGGTCAAGACTTTCAGGGAACATTCTGCTTAAATTTTTTATTATTCTTTTTTCTATTTGGTAGGTTTTAGCTTGCTTGCTTGCTTGCTTTCCTCCTTCCTTCCTTCCTTCTTTCTTTTAGCACTTCCCAGCAATGGATATAGAACTCTTGACATATTTGTAAAAATTGGCTTGCAAATTACCCTGCTTATTATAGATAATGGAAACCATCCAAAAATTTGATTCCTAGACATTTCAGAATAAAGGCTCTCCAATGGAGTCAATTACTGTTCCAAGTTAAACTCACCACTAATAAAGTGGATTTTTTGTACACCACACAAAAAGTACTTTCTCCACTATACCCACCACTTTCCAATCCATGCTAATGAAGAATTTTTTAGCAAATACTAAATACTTGGCTTTGGGGACAAAAAAGCACAGGGATGAGGACTAGATCAAAATTATACAGGGATGCAGAAGCTCCCTATACCAATACAAGTCAGCACCTTTTCTGTAACACATTTTAGAGTTGAGCATAGTAGTACTGTGATCTTATATAACTATGTTCTTGAGAAAAACACTGTTTTCTTTTTTCAGTTTGACATATATCATCATTTGTAAATAATCCCTTCTTGGCATTATCATGAGAAAGGTTTCTATTAAAATTTACCTCGGAATAATGGGTTTTTTTTAATCTTTCTTGTCATTTACTTAGAAATAAATAAATATGTACATGTCACATTAGTATCTTTAAAAGTGTTCAATAAGAAACAAATACGCTTATTCTAGCCTTTTGCAAATGATGTAAGGATGTATTTCCAGTGAAAGCAGAAAAAAAAAAACTATGAACTTTACAAAACCAGGGCTGTACCTTATACCATTGTGGAAGCTCATCAACCTAGGTACATTGTTACCAGGAGCTGTATTTCTAAAGCCAACTCAACTTTTTTTCGCTCCAATTACAGTGAAGTGAAAGCCAGTAGGGAGTTTCTGGAAAGTTAGGTTGAGGTTTCTAGACTCCCTCTTTAGAAACCAGAGCATATAATGCACATAGGCACCTCTCACTGTATGAATCCTATTTTCTGAAGAATAATTAATAAATATTTTCTTTTAACATATAACAAACAGTTGAACCAAACAATTATGTAAACTGGAAATGACCCAAAATGCTAACAGTTTGGCATCAGTAGAGTGAAATGCATTGTAGTGCACATGTGCATTTTTGTCGCCCTCCCTCCCCAGTAATCTGCACTTAATAGGAATATTTTAAACTATGTAGCTAAGCAACAGAGGTAATTGTTGCTTTCTAGAGCTTTTGTTAGGCACTCTAACATAGCCCAAATATGCATAATTAGGTATAATGTCTATAAATCATTATTGTACACATGTGGGTAGTTAAGTGAATTGAGAGGATAGTTCAATGAATTGAGCATATTCACTGAAAATGCTTTTTATTTGTTTTCTGTAGTTCATAATACTTTAAAATTATCATAACCCTTTACACTTTCTCTTAATAGCCAACATGTTATTGAGAAAAACTTCATTTGCATTTTAGACTATGTTTAATTTATTATTTAAACCTGGATTTCCTCTGATAGGAATTCAGAAGAGGATAGGCCATCTTATCAAATATTATGTGCTTGTTTATCTAGCCTCTTTTCTAGGAAGTAAAATGTTAAATTTTTCAGTTTATGTTGAATAGATCCCAACAAAAGACTGCACCCTATAATCAGCATTATTAAAGGGGCTAGTGTTGTGACTAAATTCTTCCCTTCATCCAAAAATGCTTTTAGTTACTATGGCAATATTTACTTGATCCTGGCAGTCCAGTGTTGATTTAGAGAGGTAATTACCAGAAAGGAAGATGATGGAGATGTATTTTTGAGTGTCCTTGTCAGAGACAATGTTTATAAAAAATTAAATGAGACAAAAAAGGCATATTGTCTCCCAACATAGACGCCCTTTCTATATCCCTCAGTACCGGGTGGCTCTTTCTTTCTTCCCCACAAAGATGTTTATTATCACAGAATGTACTTCACTTGGTGTCTTTATCAGTCCTTAAAGGGGGCATAATATTTCATGTCTTCCACCCCCAATCCCACCTTAGGAAGTACATAAATGATTCTTTAATTTTTTGTGCAAATGAATGTCAGAATGAAAATTGCTAGGCTGTGTGGTACATTTTACAGCCCCATACACTAGAAATCATAAGCTGTCCTACTGGTGCATCTGAGAACTGAAATAGGTTCCATGGATTCATTCTGATGAAGAGACATACTATGAGGTTCTTTTGAACCCCAAACTTGCCTGATATGGAATGTAACCATAATTAGAAGTTAGTTCTTAGCCACATCACATCAATGTACTTTTGCCTCTCTATTCTCCCACTACTTCTTTTTATTTTATTATTATTATTATTATTATTATTATTATTATTATTATTATTATTATCAGTAGTAGTAGTAGTAGTAGTAGTAGTAGTAGTAGTAGTGGTAGTAGCACTCATAGGAGCAGAATTGTTTTCTTTTCAGGGCACTCATTTTTAGGATCCTTTAGAATGATTCTTTTTCCTATTTTTCATGATAATAGCTAGATTCTATATAGCACTTGTGTTTGCAAAGTGCTTTAGATGGCTTCTCTCATTTAGTCTTCACAACAGCTTTTTGAGGCAGATGCTATCATTGCTACCATTTTTCCAATAAGGAAACTGAAGCTCAGAAAGTTTAAGTGACTTACCTAAGGTGACATAGTCAGGAAGTGGCTGGGATGAAATCTGAACCGAGGTTTACCTTATTCCAAACCCAGCATCTATCCAAATTACCCAAAATGGAGCATCTCCATGTTTGGTTGAACTCTTTTTGAATATGTAGGATATTAGGAGTAGAAAAATGCATAGATTTCTTTGAGCTAGAGGCCACATTCTTATCTTGACTTTGAATTTAATTGAATGTTAGAACCAAACCAAGGGAAGTATCTCCATGACTTTAATAGAAATGGACTCATCTTTCTCAAGAACTGGGGGTAGGAGGAGGTAAGAGAATGGGTGATAAAGTAAATGAGATTTGAAGGAGGTAATGGAGAAATCTCTCCCAAGAGCTTCTGAGTTAAACACAAATCTTTATTAGTATTCTGTGCCAAATCAAGTTTTATTGGTGCTATTTTCTTAAAATGTCTTTTTTATTGTTGTTATTATTGGCTTGCCTTCTTCGTAGAAGAAAATCTTGTGAAGCCTTCTGAAGGGATTCTTCATTCAAATGGCAAAGACAGCTTCAACCGAAACAAAGACAGTTACACCAGCTACCAAGACCTAGTGGCCAAATCTTTAATGCACTTGGGAAAATTAGAGCAAGATGCCTCCATACAAACACTAACTGAAAACCTAAATGACAGTGGCATTCAGTCATTAAAAACTGAAAGTGATGAAGTTGATGACTGTTTCATGATTCATTCAGCTGGTTGCAAGGCTAAAATCAATGATTCTAACCTACAGTACTGCTCATCTGATGACAATGAAAGTCACTCTGAAATTGCAGAAAATGGTTGGGACAGTGGTTCCAACTTCTCAGAAGAAATTTCTGAAAAATCCCATGTGGCCCAAACTTACATTGTAAGTCATAATCAAAAGGAACCCTTGGAAGCTCCAGAAATTAAAACTGAAGAGGAAAATTTTGTTCCCTGTGAAAAGGTGTGTGATTCTGAAATGGAGAGGAGAGAATCACCAAATTCTCCCATGGAATCCTTGCAGAGTAGAGCTCAAAATCCACTCCTAGAGGGTGATGAAGATGACACTGAGTGTCTGTCTATAACAACAGAAGAGTCAGTTGACCTGGATAAAACAAAAGGGCACTTGAGTTTGCTAGAGCAGGCCATAGCTCTGCAGGCAGAGCAAGGCCATGTGTTTCATAGCACCTACAAAGAACTGGACAGGTTTCTATTGGAACACCTAGCCGGGGAAAGGAGGCACACCAAAGTTATTGACCTGGGTGGAAGACAAGCCTTTAACAGCAAACGTAAGACATATTTTCATGTTTCTTATTTGAGTAAGAGTTGGTTCATTTTGCTTTCGAAAAAAAAATTACTGGGAGCTTTATTTAGGTGGATTTCGGTTCTTTCTCTAGATAGTTTATTGGTAGTTTGAACCATTTAAAAAATAAATTGTACTCCAAAATATATAATTTCTTATTCTCTATTCCTATAAAGTACTTAAAATAATATAGTTTAGTATCATTAATATTCTGCTTTCAGATAACATGTATTTCTCCCCCAAATTGAATCTAAGTAACATATGGTTACAGAATTGATTGGAATACCCATAAAAATGTATTTCATAACTATTTTTATCAGATATCTCCTTCTCACAACCATCTATGGGGGGGGAGCGTGGATGGAATGAAGTTCTTAATCCTATTTACCCACCACATATCTTTATGCCTTATTGAGGAGTCAGCTATTAATGTAATTATAGATTTCTCAAAATTTCCCAAATTTAAAACTCAAAAATTAGCTCTGTTACTTCTGGGCCAACCTGGAGTGAGAAAAAGAGATTATTTGCCCTCGTACTTGTTCTCTAAAGGGATTTCTCACCCCCTCTAAAATTAATGCCCCCTACAGGCATTAAAGAAACCACTTCTATGCTTCTGTAAGTAAGTCTACCATCCTTCCCTACTCTGAGCCCTGTACCATTCTGGTCTAATAAAGACAGATCGGTTGGCAGTTAGAGGATGTGCATACGAGAATGACTGAAGAGTGAAGCTGTGGACCCAAAAGGGTTAGAAGAATGGCAAGCTATTATAGTTTAGGACCATTATTTCATTCTTTTGTATTTTCCAAGCTGTGAACCATAAGAAGTGAGTTTGGCAGAATTGCAGGTGAGTGATATAATGGTCTTAAATAACAAAACAGGAAATTCATTCCTCAACACCTCCTACCAAGTCAAAAGGTTGGTGGCATAAGGTGGGAGGGGCAAGATAATGATCCTAGGCTAACCTTACCATCTTCTAAGTCACACTGGGAGTGGAGGGTAGCATGTGGGTGGAAGGTTAAGGATTAGTGGTTGAGAACAGAAGCATTTTATGTTTTGTTGCTGCACTGAGACTCACATGCATATCCGTGTATGATTTTTATAACTTCACAATGTTTTTTCCTTACTTAACACTTACTCCATATTCCCAAAGTCAATTATTTCTAATGTAGCCTGAGATATTTCAATTCTAAGCACCATGTTGGAGGGATGCTTGTTTTATTTACTTATTTACACACAACTTTTTAACCCTATTTTAGTACCATAATTAATGAACCAACAAAATCTCTAGCCATGCTAACAATATATTATCCTGCAGTACACTATTGGAAATTCAGTGATGTCACAGTGTGAAAGGGGGAGCAACTTGTCAACAACACATCCTGTATCATAGGGCATATATAACAGGGGTCTATTATTTTATTTTGGATCATTTGCTCTAAGGCTGAAGTTGAGGGAATTCATTAGTGAATTCATAACCTTAATCTAAGCCTCCCTGCTGGAAGTCTTCAAGGTTAAAAATCAGGTACTCTCAACACTGAATGTCCTAGGCAATGGCATCAGAGGCTTCCTAGACACCATTCTTTCTCTGAATGGTTTCTATAAGTTAACGCCCCTGTAGTTGTCAGTTAATATTCTTCCCAAACATAAGCAATTATTTGCCTTGCCCAAACTGAATATTCCTTATTTATTAGAGAAGGTTAGATAAAACATATATTCATTATACCAAGCCCCAGAAGAAAAGCACTATCAGAATAAAACTGTCTACATCTTCATCACCAAATCTTTTCTGAATACCAGAAAAGATCATTGTTGTTCAATCATTTCAGTTGTGTCTGATCTTTCATGACCCCATTTCGGGTTTTCTTGGCAAAGATACTGGAATGGTTTGCCATTTCCTTCAGCAGCTCATTTTAAAGATGAGGAAACTAAGGCAAACAGGGTTAAGTGACTTGCCCAGAGTCTCATAGCTAGTGTCCAAGGATGGATTTGAACTCAGGTCTTCCTGACTCCAGGTCTGGCTCTCTGTACCACCTAGCTGCCCACAAGCACCAACCATGTGTGCTTATAAATAATATAAGCATATTGACCTGACCTGGATATTGCACAGCACCCAAACACTGGGTTTTGATCACAGAAACACATTGTGCCATACTGTGTTTCCTGCAAACCTTCATCTCTAGATAAAGGCTTCGCAACAGGTAGTCAGTGGGCCACATTTACTCAAGGTTTAGACTCTTCTTTGATTCCCAGAGGGCAAATAGTATAGAGAGATGGAAGGGTGTTTGGCAACAAAGAGTTTGGAGCAGTTTAGAAATGAACGTGTCATCTGAATAAGATCTCAAGAAGCAAAGGAACAAATAATAGTAGCTGACTTGAGTAAAGCTTTTAAAGTTTACAAAGCTCTTTGCATATATTCTTATGATTTGCCCACAGTTTAACAATTAATAATATTAGCTCAACACATATAAACCTGCCCTCAATATCATTCAAGATCACAGAGAAAATAACAGTATTTTAGATTTGATTGCATTAATTCAAAGCTTCTGCTACTTGGTACACCTTTCTTTAGATCATTCATCTCTAATTTATAGCTTACTGTACCTTATCTGGAGGTCCTCATCCAACATAACTTGTGATACTCTTGGTTCTTCCCTTTTACTGAAGCCGTGCCCCCATGTAATTGTATTACACACAACCTACTGGGCTCCATCTGCTAAAGACCATTTCTAATCCAGCAATGGGCATGGCATTATATCATGCAACCACGTTTGCTCATCGCAATACAGTGCCCCTAGAGATGTCTGTCGCATCTTGCGACATTGCCTTTCTATCTGTGCCACACGTTTCAGAGGAGCATATGGGCCCTCCGCATCTCTACTCAGCAGGACTCTCGCCCTTATTCTATCTCTGACAGCTTTTTGTGGCAGGATCATACATATTATTTATTTTCACTCTCAGCATCAGGTAGGCTCATTATTCCAGATACTGAATGTTCTGGGATCCTGCAGCCTGTGTGGATTCTATGTCATGATCCTTTATTTTTTGCTTCTTAAGCTGGATCCAAGGCTGATTTTCCCACCAAAATACACTTCATCCTAGGACACTGACTTCTGCCAATTATTTGCCCAAACATTAACAATCCTTGGGTTGGGAAGGCCATTTGGATAACAATACACTCTTTTCAAAAATCTTTTTTTCCCTTTTTACCGCAAGCATAACAATTTTCTCTTGTTTTCCTCCATATTCATTAATAACCCAATTATTATTTGTCCCCTGCACTTATTTATTTTACATATTTGCCTAAACCTCTATTTAACCTTCTGCTACATGGTTGCCAAAAAAATTTAACCCCTCGGCTTGTCCCCAACCATTTCCTCTCTAGGCTTGTGCCTCATTGCAGCCTGACAAAATGTGTTACAAGGTGTCTCTTTCCTCAGTTTGGCTGCAGCTGTTATCTTCCCTCACTCCCCAGTGTTTCTGGCAGCACTCTGTCAAGTGCTCTGAAAGTGTCTTCCATTTTCTGTGAGTCTACCATAAGTAAGGTTCCTTTCCAAACTGCCTTCCCAAATCCCCAGTTTTCAGCCTCAGTACTCAAAATAAAATGCATCCCTCCTTCCCCTAGTCATTACATACTGACAGTAAATGGGAAAGCATCAGGGGTTTGGAGCCTTTCATGCTTTGTACTAGTGAAGGTTGGTTGGAAGCATGAGAATTCAGTGAAGATACAAAAAGAGGTTTGCAACTGTTCCTCGTTTCAACTCTTCTCATCAGCTGTTCCACAGAGAGAAGTCTTGGCAAGGGCGGCAGGAAGAGTTAGTTATTCCCTCCACTCCCCAAATCAAATGGTCATAACTGTCCAATTACTTAGCAGAAGTTAATGTCAAAGAGGTCTCAGATATGGGAGTCACTGAGAGCTTTTTTGGTTTATTTTGTGAGTGTGGCAACTTCCCATTCCTTTCTAAAGAAGAGAGGTTTCAGTTTGAACATATTCTATCTTCTACCTCATCTCTTTCTTTTCAGAAAACTGAATGCCTTCTGACTTAGGGTTCATTTTCCAGGAAGGAGCTCTAATTACATGCAGTAGTTGACATAACAACCTAAAACCATCTCTATATTTTAACACCCCATTACCCTCTGTCAGCCTTTGCTTAGGAAACCAAGAAAAATGAAAACATTTTTATGTTTCCACAGGTCTGAGTTGAGGGTCTTATTCAAGGCAATGTAAGAAAAATGTTTTTGACTACAAAAGTAGATAAATTGAGAATGTTATACCTGCAAGGCCACTCTATTGAATGGGAAGGGAAAGAAGTATAATCAAATTAAATAATCAATTTCATTTCTCTGCAGATTCCCCTAGACCTGAAAAGAGAGAGACTAAATGTCCCATTCCTGGATGTGATGGCACAGGGCATGTGACTGGACTCTATCCACATCACCGCAGTCTCTCAGGCTGCCCTCATAAAGTCAGAGTGCCCCTAGAAAGTGAGTACTTGCTTTCAGTGCAAAGTGGCTTCCTCTTCAGGATGGCACCTGAATATAATCAGCTTCATTTTCCTAGTGGGCAATTTGGAACAATCAATGTACAATTCCCTCTCAATCTGTAGCAAAAGAGTATTTATTTGGTTGCATGACCACCCAACCCTTGTGACCTGGTATGGAAGCCATTTGCTAACTGTATTCAAAGTAACTGTAATGCTGCTGCTTAATCGCAGCTGATAATAAAAAGCAAATGTCAGGAAGCAGCAGACACATGAGGATGTTGCCCTGAAACAGTCTTTCCTATACAATTGGAGTGCAAGGACCAGTATAAAATCATATATTCAAAGTAAGAAGGGATCTTATAGTTCATCATCCCCAACCCCCTCATTTTACAAAGAAGGAAACTGAGACCTAGAAAGGTTGAGTGACTTGCCTATGGTCACATGGGTAGTAAAAGGCAGAGTACTGAACCCAGGTATTCTGATTCCAAATCCCACACTGCACTGTACTACAATGCTTCCCAAACCTTTGTTTTTTCTCATGGCTTCCCATGGCATGAAGCAATGGCATGCAATTAGCTCAAAATGTAAGAATAAATGAGTCCGAATTTTATCACAATAACCAAACATCTTACTCAATCCCTTGTGGCTTACCTGCTTATAATCATAATGTAGCCAGTTATGGGTTGAATTCTCCCCTATTGAAACATATTTATCGTAACACCTGTTGAGCTGCACAGGCTGCTGTGGTTGGAATGCCTCAACATCATTAATGTTCTTAAAAGCAAGATTTTGCAAATCACCACACATCTAATCAGCTCAGTACTGTCCTGCTGGATTATCAGTTCCTCAAAATGATTATCTGATTGTTCACTCAACCACGTTCTTCTGCCAGTAACCAAATAGCAGGAGGGAAAACTGTACAAAGAATCAAAATGATATCACTTATGATATGAAGAGGACTGCATCCAGAATTTCAATCTGGGAAGAAAGGGAAAGAATACTGTTTGAGCAAGTACAATTCCAAATGTGGAAAAATAAACTTCTGAGCATCAAGAATTACATCAAATACATAAGGGGGAAAATCCCAGAAGGTTCTTTAAGATTTTCTGTTACCAGCAGCAGCAGCAACAAAAACTGGTTCAGGAATATTAAGATGCCAGGAAAACGCAAATGTTTCCTTTCCAGAAAACTTGAAATCCTCTAAAGTTTACCTGTTTTATTTAAATATATTTTTCCTAATGTAACTGGAAGAAGAGTGAGAATATATGCATATATGTGATTGTATGCACTTTTAATACGTAACTGAGAAATAAATGTGTGAGTGCATCTAATTTGTAGAATAAATTGCCAATTTTTTTAATGTTTTATGCTTAGTTCTTGCCATGCATGAAAATGTGCTCAAGTGTCCCACTCCTGGATGCACAGGAAGAGGCCATGTCAACAGTAATCGCAACACACATAGAAGGTAATCCCAATTAGTTGTTCTTCCTTTTAAAATAAACAGGCAAGAGGGAATCAGTGCTGATACATTGAATTCAAAGTTGTCAGCTAACAACACAATATTACAGCATTGTGCTACAACTTCAGTTTCTATCTGAAATATACCAATATGTTTCTTAATATCCATATAAATTATGAAACTCACGGTGTAAATCCCCTTCCTATGAATTGTCATATTGACAACTATCACCTCATTACAGATCAAAATGCGTTTGCTCTCTTTCTGAGATTGGTGGTGGAGTTGTATATATACATACAGATGGCTGTCTAAATACTGAATTTTATGTATGCACTGGAGCCACACTCTTACACTATTTGCTATGGAAAAATAATGGGTGGGTGAGCCTTGAATTGCATCCGATAAGCACTAGGAGCACTGCCAAAAGGATCTCCTTATGAGGTGCTTTTTGCCTATAAAGCAGATCCATGGCAGATGCCTATGACAGTATTATCTTGAAACTTCAATTTACATAGATAAATATATACATGTCTACCTCCATAGAGTTACATATATAAGTAATTTTATGCAAATGCTAGTACTTCTTTCTCAATATAATTCATACTTGACAAAGCAGATATGACCATGGTTCAGTGTGCCATATTCATAACTCTTACAGTAACAACTGAGAGGACTTCACATTCTACACACTCTTCTTTCAGGGCGAGACATAAAACCAAGTCCCTGAAACTCTGTTAGAGATCCCAAATAAAAATTCAGGGTAGTAACTCTACGGGTCTAATCAAATTACAATTTGAGTAATTTCATTCTTTTTACCCCCAAATCCAGACAGTGTCAGTTGTGTACAGCTGAATTGTTCCACCCTCTCCCCCCTCCCAATTAAATAGCTTTTTGATGCTAAAACACACTGTTAGCTGTCAGCTATTGTTTTCCTCTGAGATGGATGAACATAGTTGACAATGTAGTTTGCAAAATGCTTTGGGACTCTTTGGGATGAGAATGGTGCTATGTGAACTATTACTATAACTTAACTATTTATTGTCTGCCAAGTATGTGAGAGGCACATGTAAGTGCAAGGAACCGTTATTATTTTAACTCAAACCCTGCCACTTCTTTTTAAAACAGTCTTTCTGGTTGTCCAATTGCTGCAGCTGAAAAATTGGCAATGTCCCAGGATAAAAATCAGCTTGACTCTCCCAAAACCGGGCAGTGTCCTGACCAGGTTCACAGGTATGAACCTCACATGATATTCCTGACACTCTATTTTGTGTAATTGATCTTATACTTCAGGGTCTCTTTCATCCATCACATACCAGTCTTAAATGGTTTGCCCTCAACCATCAGCTATCAATAAGTATCTCTGTATGGTGAGGCCATTAGAAAGACTGGGCAGGTTAAACCATATTATGGATTATATTATCTAGATCCTTCATAACTGTAACAACCAATTCACAGATAATTCTAACATAATGAATGGATCAAAATGGAACAGAATATATGACATTAGCCTGTATCTGTCATAGTTCTGGAACATGCCACTAACTTTAAATGATCCCATGTTTGAAATCAATGTTAGCCATCTGAAATCTTTCATGTGGTACAGGGACTTAAGTAGCCCAGCCACACCTACAAAAAAAATCATACAATCATTTATTTTTAATTTTCTTTCAAATTCTGTTCCATCCATGTAGATAGATTATTTCATAACACTAATATAACCAATACAAAAACTGCTCTTACTGAACCATTATCTTCTAATTAAAAGACTGTCATGTGGTCAGTTAGGTATTTTAGGTATTTATAGAAACACAAGTATTATAGCACCAGACTGAGAAGTTTTGATGACCTTACATAATGACAAGAGCATTATGTTTATGTGGACAAAAATTAGGTTCAGTGTAAAAGGAGATGAACCAGTTCCTATTACTTTAAAGAATAAGACACATGGAGTAAAAGCCAAGAATATGCATTCTTCAACTCATACCACAGTTTCTCATAGTTAGTCAGTCAACAAGCCTTTAAGTGGTTGATATGTGCCAGGCTCTGTGCTAAAAGCTGGGGTACTGTGCTATGCCTCATCCCCAATGACTCCCATAAGCCCTGGAACATCCTACTCCCATTTGAACCAAAATAATAACCCAACGCTTCAACCCTCCCAGAACACTGTTCTGTTTGTTGGAACTACCCAACTTGGGTGCTCTTGACAGAATATAGAAGATATAAAATTCCCCCCAGAATGTATTTTTGTACAGAACATATTTTCTTTTGACCCTTTTGTGCCAAATAGTTATTTACTATATAGGCTAAAATTGGCATTGTAATCATTGAATCACTTTCATGAAACATTATAGATCATGAATTACTAAATGTAAGTGAAATATTAAACAGGGAAGTGGACCAGTATTCTAAATGCAGTCTCTGATCTGATGAAATAATATACTTACCTGAATAGCTCAATGGTTTCATTGTCTCTTTCATTAAATAAAACAGTATATATGCAGCTATTTTATAAATATGTTTGTATATTTATATATTACACATTTTATATATGCATATAACATATGCAATAAACATATATCTTTACATATACATATCTGTATATCTCTACATGCAGAAATAAGGTTGTTACCCAAAACTTTTCTGTGACTAATAGAATACCATTTAAAATTCCTTATAAGGCAATAAGACAGAAATGTTACTCAGAAATTTTTAGGTCACAAGCAAATATACTACGAACCAAATTTGAGGAAGCGTTTACATTTGACATTATGATGGGCAGTCATGGTTGAGAGGAAAATAATAGAGGACAATTCCCATTTGCTATTTTTCCATTGTCAAATTCCAAAATCAATATTGCTGTCCATGGACCTTTATCATTCTCTCACCACAAAATGAATCAGTCATTCTCCTCCTTTGGACTAACTATGCTACTACCCTATCTTGACTTTGAGCCTCTTTGCCACCCCTAGGGTACAAAAAGCTCAACCTCAGGTGCTTTGCACAGAGGTATGAGGGATCACTGCAGGCCAGAAGTGACAAACATGGTCCACAACACTATCGAGTGTGGTGGGAACTAGATTAAAATGTAGATACTGTATATGGTTTAGTGGCCCCCATTTTTATTTGATTTTGATACCACTGCTTTAGGTTACAGCCTTGTTATAAACTTCAATATCCCAGAGAAACAACTTTTTCTCAGAACTCTTGGCCTAGGGATTCCTTCTTCCTATAAACCTAATCTTGTAACACCAGTGGCTAAAGTTGCTGAGACATTGACCTGGATCACTAAACTTATGTCATACCATAAATTCAAAACTCTACTGCTGTCAATCATTAACCTATCATTTCTCTTCTGCTGCCACCGCTGTTGTTGGATCCCTTGATTTTAATACATTTACATAGCATAGAAGAAAGAAAATTGGAGATAGAGCCAGTAGAGAACTGGATTTTAATCTAGCCTCTGACATTTGCTAAATCTGTGACCTTGAGCAAGTCACTTAGTTTCTCTAAGACTCATTTTCCTCAGCCGTAAAATGGAATAATACCTACCTCATAGGGGTGTCGTGAGGATCAATGAAAAAAACATATGAAAATTCAATATAAATGTCAGTTATTTTTATACTACTCCCCCTTTTCCTTTTCCCTGTCTGTCCTAATACCATCAGGCTTAGTCAACTTTGTCCAAGATAGTTATTCATAAGGGAAAAGAGCACGTAAAGTCAGAAATAATACCAAGCTAAGACAAAAATATTTTTCCACTGCACAACACTGCTTCTCATAGTTTCATCTTCAATGATGCTTATGTCCCCTTACTCTTGCATCATACTCCCATTTTATCCAAAACAAAAATGCTTTTGTCTCCCCAGCTTACTCCTCCAGACTGACCAAGAGGGGTACCTTTGAAAGCTCATCAATACACACTAGAATCTCAGGCTTACTCAAAGTGATTCAGGAAGCCTACCAGTCACTGATAGACTTTCAGCATTTCAACCACTCTTTTCTTCTAAAACACTAACTACCCCTTTCCTGACCTAAGTCGAGTGCAAGGTGAATGACACCTCCTAAAAGATACTATTAGTTTTTTTCATCTCTTAGAAAAAGGATAATCCATCTATCACCTGATTCAGCCCCAACTTTCATATGTCATTTTATTCTCTCCTACAAAAAAATCACTATACTTATACACCAGACATCTAGGTAAATAGTTCCTGCTGTCTTAATATCCCTCACTAATAGGACCGATACACCTCACCTGTACATTAACAAAATATCATAACTTGTAGTTACTATAGTACCTCTCTCCAAGAAGCTCAAAGTTATTAACAAATATTGTCTATGTGATCCTCACAATAATCCTCCTCTAAAATAACAGAGGCATGATTATTCCCATCACAGAGATAGGAGAGAGTCAGAGTATGGCTTCACCATGGTCACTGAGCAAAGAAGACATAGAACTCTGATGTTCTGAGTTCTACCAACATGTGTTGCTATCATAGCTCTTTGTTCTGTCTGATGCACTCTGTGGGTATTAAGTAAATACCTATGAGCTTACTGACTCTATGATATGTCTGCCCACTTTCTTTCCAGGTGCTGATATTTATATTTTCATCTTTCAATCTGTTCTCTGACTTCTCCACTCTTCCCCTTCTGTCTTTCCAGGACGAGCCTTGTGAAACAACTTGAGTTATCTCAGTTCAGTTTCCGATCATCACAAACAGTCACATCTCCCAGAGCTACAATGACAAAAGAACAAGAGAAGTTTGGAAAAGTTCCATTTGATTATGCCAGCTTTGATGCTCAGGTTTTCGGAAAACGCACAACAGTTCCGACAATACAAGGACAAACCCCCCCTCAGCTTCCTGAATGTAAGCTTCAAATTCTAACACTGATTGAAACTATATAAATTTCTAATTAGAGGAATGCGGGAAAGGGGAGAAAAAAATAATTCTGGATTCTTTTAAGTGAAAAAAGATTAATCAGGTATAATACAGGTGAAACTTGAGTTCCTAAACAAATGAATGCAGAGGTATCATGGAATTAGGAATAGAGACCGATTTTATTTGTAAATTAATAGATTTATAGCATGTTAGAGTTAGAAGGGACCTGAAAGATCAGTTCATAGGGTGTTAGATGAAGAGTGAGAAGAAACCTAAGAGATTATTTTATATTTTACAGAGGAGGAAACTGAAGCCCAAAGAACTCAAGTGACTTGACTAAGGTCGTTAAGCTTGCTATTAGCAGAACTGGGACTCAAACCCAAGTCTCTGACTGCTAGGCCACTATACCTTTTTCTGTCACTATGTTTCTGTGTGATCTAAGAAAGTCCATTTAAGCTCTCTGAGCCTCAGTTCTCTCAGATATAAAAGGAGGGGGGCAGTTTTAGAGAATTCCTGTGGTCCCCCACTCTGGGACTGACATTAATAATTTTATTATTTGAGTATCTTGCATCCAGATGATGACAGCCTAAGTTTGGTGAGTATAAATATTTCTATAAACATTGTGCAAAGCTTTAGCCAAGATGCTATTATTGTGAAGTGAATAAAAGAAATTCTAAAGGATATTTATTATGCATCTGTCTGGAATTGGATTTGACAAATTATAGGCGTTAAGAGCTATTGTGATTCAGTCATTTTTATTTATATTGAAACCAAGGAAAAGAGACATGAATGTTGAATTGTTTATTTGAAATCCTACTTAAACCAGCAAAAACATTCAGATGATTAAAAGGTGAAAAAGAAAGGTTTGAAAAGACACAATTCCCAAGAATCAAATTTTTGTTGGGGAAATAATGTATGTATGAGACCATGGAAATGATGCTATAGAGAGTCTGAGACTCAGTTATAGGTGAATAAGATAACCTTGAGGTCCCTTCCAATTCTGAGATGATATAATTTCATGTTTATAAGCAAACAAGATTTAAAATAGAAACATTCTGAAATACATTCATGTTTCCTTTAATTTGGTGACACAACCATAGAGTGTAAAATAACTCAGAGTTCTCACAACAAAAATTATATATAGTTGTTTCCTTGATCCTTTCCTCTAAAGTTGTTCATACCCTTTAAAACACTCTAATACAAAAAGGTGAGACTCTAAACAAACATGTAAACAGATTTGTGCCTCTGGTGAGCTAGTCACAAGATAGGAAGCTATATAAGTACCCTTTAGGATCATTCACCAGAACTTAAATTTGCTGTACTTGACTTATGTGATCATCTTGGTCTAAAGTACAAAGAGATGAATACCTGTTATTTTCTGAGAAGAGCATCCATTTCCTATAAGATGTGGGGGCCAGAAAACTAATATTCTGTAAGAATATATTACAATTCTTATAGGAGTTTAAGCTATAAAAGCTTAAAACTGTGCTGAATCTTTTGGGAAACCCTTTGTAGGAGAAAATTTCATTCTGAGAGTTCAGCTATCTTGACTTGCAAAAAAAAGCCACTGTTTAAACTACTCTGCATAAACAAATACATACCAGTCATGTCAGCAAAAATATATTTGCAAGTTACAAAATAGCCATAACACCCTTAATAGAAACTTCAGTGTGAGTGGCCTCCAGGAGAAGGTTTACTAAATTCATTTTTGAGGCAAAGGATTTATTCTATTTAATAATATAAATTGGAAAATATTATAAAATGATGACCTGGTATCAGATTCTAATAATGATAACAACAAATAGCTAGTACTTACATAGCACTTCAAGGTTTGCAAAATGCTTTTTGTATGTTATCTCAAGTGAGATAACAATAAAACTTTACATAACATATTAAAGTTTACAAAGTATTTAATATACATTTTATACATTTTCTCATTTGAAGAAGTTAGAATAAACAATATAACTATGCTTTTCCATATTTTGTTGTATATTATAAATACATATTCCTGTTTTAACAGACACGCAATAGTCAGATTTGCTTTGCACGATTCTGCCTCCTTTATGATTAAGGCCTGTATTAATCATTGCTGATGTTTTACTTTTTATTTTAATAAAAAATAAAGTTGTCAGGTTTTCTAAAAGAAAGATCTATTTATTATTTGCTGCATTGTGAATATTATATTTCCCTCATTACACATAATATAAATATCTCAAAACATGGAAAATACATTTACTTCTCTTTTTTTATTTACAAATAAGAAATGTTATTTGTAAAGAGCTGAAATATGAAACCAGCACTCAGTGTTGATAACTGAAATGCATTTCTATTCACCTTGAAAACCTTTCCCTGTGTCCTTAATTCACCCTACTTTATATGAATTTTCAGTGTGCCAGCTCCTGAAAGACCCCATCAATGCTTCATATCCACCTAGTGGAACTAAGGCCAATTTTAACTCTGAATCCTTTTACTGGTTTAAGAGGGGAAAATGCAAACATTGAAATTATCTCTTAATTTTCATTTTTATCTGCTAAATTATTATGAATAATTATGTGAGCCAGAAACAAAATATTTTGCTTTAACTGAAACTATGTTCTTTGAATCTTAGGCATATAAGTTATAAGCCTTTCTATCATTCCTTATGAATTTTGCTGGGATGGTGTTTTTTTTTTCAAAATATTTCACAATGAATGGTGCCAGTGCACCTGCCCTACTAATGGTATAGAGTTTTTGTAAGACAAAAAAAAAGGAAGATGAAGAAGGGTAAATACTGAAATATTAATATAAGAGGAGTTTTTTTTTCAGCAATCAGATAATTTGATCCTTGGACCTCTGTTAAAGGGAAGCTTAGTAACCTGTATTTAACATACAGATGGAAAAATGGACTGTGTTTTAATTTATTCTTCACACATTTTAATGTACAAAATTACCACCTGAAAAACAAATCTATTTAATGACTAAAAACACATACATGCAATGGCTAATCAAATCTCTCTTCAACAGCAAAGCATTTTTCAAATCCAGTGAAACTTTCCAATCGACTGCCTAGTGCTAGCGCCCACACACAGAGCCCTTGCCGTGCCAGCTCTTATAGCTACGGTCAATGTAGTGAAGACACCCACATGGCAGCAGCTGCTGCTATCCTGAACCTTTCCACCCGCTGCAGGGAAGCAGCAGAGATCCTCTCCAACAAACCACAGAGTCTGTCTGCCAAGGTAGGGTAGTCCAAGAACCTGGAGGGTGTGCTAGCGACTGAACTGTGAGAATAAACTGCCTTTCATGTTCGCAACCACATTCAAAACATCCCCTACCTCCCCCTCAAAAAAAGACTTTTCTCCTTGCGTGATCTTTTCTAGAGATTCAGAGGAAAAAAAAACATAATGAGGTACCTGAATGGTTCAATTGAAAAAGAAGAATAAATGTATAGTTCTGCTTTGACCCTTAGCACTGGGTCTGAAGGAAAAAACTAAGGGAATAGGGGATGGAAAGGTGGGAAGAGAGAGGGAGGAGTTAGCCAGATTTCAAAATTGGTTTGGAGGGGGAGGGGGAGAGGAAAATGAAAGGAGAGTTGATGTTTAAAATCTTTCAATTGTTTATTTTTTTTTTCTGTCTGAAAAATCTGTGACCACAAGAGATGGCTGTGCTAAGAAAGTGAGACTCGTAAAAAGATTTCACAGATATTACTCAAGTGATTCAATCACTGTGTTACTTGGATATTTTATAGCATAAAATGGCTAGTTTGGACAGTTATGGTGAAGTGGATGGACACAATTTTAAAACCAGAGAGAAATGAAAGCCACGGCATTGGGTACAGAGATATTTTCCTGGCTTATGTAACATTTTACATGTGCCTTAGAATTTATGTTCTGTAAATGAATGAGTAGTTTGACCGGAAGCAAACTATAGTTCTGGACCATGGAAACTTATTGTGCCTCCAGAGCTTGGTAGCCGCCAGAAAATCCACATTTCCTCCAACAATATTGTTTGTCTAGCAACGAGGTGAATTATTAGGCAATCCAGAACACATTCATGTTCTAGGTAATGGTAGGAATATCAAACATTTCTTTACCTTTTGCAACTGGCAGGTTTATCATCTGAATGATCAGCTGACTATAACCAAATTTTGCAGGTAGCACACCAGCCATTTATTAATAAACTACTATGACCAGACTTCCAGTTATAAAATTGTGTCCTTCCACTTTACCAGAAATCTTCAAACCAGCAATTTTCTTCTACTGAAGGAAACATCTCACACTATCAGTTGAAGCAATAGCCACCTGTCTTTCGCCTTCCTTTGTATCTCCATATCTTACCACAGTACCTAGAGCATAGTAGGCACTTAATAGATGTTTATCGATTGATTGGCCAACAGGAATGAATATATTGTATTCTAGAAAATTTTTGAAAATTCTATAACTTGAATAATTAATACTTCAAGAATTCATGTTTCATCTTGTGTATTTAAACCTTCCTATGGAAACAGATTGTGACCTTAATCTATGGTATTCATTGGCATCAAGAGTTGCCATCCTTCCCCACCCCTCACTCCCATCTTTCATTCATTCAGCAAATATTTATTAAATAATATTAATTAGTATTAAATATGTATTAAAAACCTATTGGATGTCAGATATTGAGAATGTAAAGATAAACATGAAAGACTTTGCCTTCAAAGAACTTATATGGTATTGATTGAAAATAAGATAAACATATGAGTAAATACAAAATAGACACTAAGTGATTTCTGAGAGCAGGGCAGGGTATTAGCAACAAGGAGGCAGGGCAGCTACGAGATTGACTTCCTGTAGAAGGTAGCATCAGAGGTGAACCTTGAAGGAAACCAGGAAAACCTCCATTAGGCTGAGGTGAGGTGAGGAAGGAGTGCATTCCTATATTGGAAGTGCATTCCTATATTGGAAAGCAGTCACCTGTACAAAGGCAGAGAAATGGGAGATATTCTGGAATGTCATGTTCAGGAGATAGCATACAACCAAATTTGTCAGCAACTTCCAGAACAAGAAAAAGAGTAATTTGCCTTCTGATAAGGGGACTTTCCAACATTGCTGTGCTGATTCTCAGACATCAAAAATGCAATTCATTTCTGAAACCATTCTCAAAGTCCTTCCAGCTTGGTAGAACCTGCCAGGGCTTACCCTCTGCTTCAATGACAACTCAGAGGAAGCCTCAATAGCATGATGAAATAATGGAATAGGACTTTATTGGAAGGATGACTTAAATACTTATTTAATTTCTGTGAGATTCTTACAGGGGAAGATTTATGTGTTGGAAAGGAAATATTAGACAATGAGCCTGGCACTGAGATTATTAGAAACAGAACCTTTTTTTTAAGTACATGAAACTCTACCTGGTCATCTGCTTCCCAATGCCTGTGCCAGTCTTTCAGGAGACCATAGCGGCAGCTCAGTGCCACATAACATTTGACAGAAGAATCGGAATTAGTTTCTAGACGGAACTGAGCCAAGTTAGCCCCATGAAGACTCAGTGGCCAAAAACTGCACAAAAACAAATTTTAAGCAATAAGGCTTTTGAACAAAGGAAAGCACAATCTTTAAAAGTACAGCAGAAAATATCAAGCTGTAGTAATTCAAACTCATCCAGCAAATCTGAAGTCATTTTTGGTATGCTTCATATTTTTATATTATTATTTTGTATTATTTTATAACTATAGCTTTTCTTAATGTTTTCAATCCATGACTATCAATGTGCTTCTTCTTTAATACCACCACTAAAAATGTTAACACTTACAAAAATTACTAGAATGCTGCAGAATGAATACTTTCAATACAGTAGGATACAAGCTTCCTCATTCCTGAGAGTGGTTTCATATTTTTCCTCTGACCTTTAGATTCTCCTATTCCATCACGTACTAAATCCAAGCACTGAATCGTGTATGAATAACAGCCTTTAGCAGTACAAGCTAATCTCTTTTCAAAGTGCATTTCTGGTCAGAAAAGTGACTTTTCAATTGGCATCTTTTTAAAATCAAAGTGTTAGCTTCCTGTGTACTTCTTATTTCATTGTTGAAAAAGACAGTCATGGCAGCCTTAGAACTAGAAGTGAAATGTAGCATGCAAAGAGTATGAGGGACACTGTTGTCATGTCTCATCAAACACATTGTCAACCAAGTTTTAAATGCACAAGCCTGACAATTGATGATGATGATGTAAGAGACAGAAAGTGCACAGCTTGATTTTTAGGATGAGTTTGCAATGTTGGCAGATAGAAAACCCATCCTGTCCCCATGAAAATGTCTCATTCAACACGGTGGTTGTTAAGGGAGGATAAATATGGCACCCCACCATGTCACTTTCACAGAGTGCTTTCCTGGAGGCCCAATAACACATACAGAACTTTAATGACTTGCAAAATTCCATCCTTGTTTAATCTCATTTATCTGACAATGAAAAGGAAATTCATAACTTCTTTTAAAAATTTCCAGAAAAGAGCAGAAAAAAATCCAAGTCATTAACCTTGCAAGAGTTTGAGCAATCAGACAGTTCACAATATAGGCCAATTATGTTGTATCCTCTTCCACTTCTTAGCAATTCCTCTTTATGAAGTCAATTGATTTTCTACCAGCATAGATGGTTGGTTGTATGATCATTGCTATTATTCCACCAAAAGTTGAGGATCTTGAGTTCTAATCTTTAGTAATTAGGATGTTAAGATTAAGTAGATGTTACCCTTCTGAAAAAAAAAACTTTTTTGATGCATTAGAGAAAAAGAATCTATCGTATTGACTTGTTTCCAAGCATTCATTAAGTCCCTCCTAAATGCAAAGTACCATGCTAAGTAGTACAGATGCAAAAGCAAAACAGGAAACAATCCCTGCTCTTCAGAAGTTTTAAATTATATTTTAAGTATCTAGATTTGAGACACTATGCGAGTTTAGTTACAATCCTTGTGCAAAGGAGCTTATTGTCCAATACAGAAAAAAAAAAACAACCCCCATAGAAAGTGATCTTACCCTTCTTACTTTCTCATACTAATTTGCCTATACCTCTCCTTTGTACTTATTGCATTCTTCTCTGTATTATAGGTCTTTGCCTATCATTTCTCCCACTGGATTGTAAACTGTTTAAAATAGGATACTGTATCATATCAATCACTGTTCACCAATGCTTTATACAGAGTAAGGATTTAATACATGTTTTTTTTAATTACATGGCCAAGTTCTAGAGAGTGTTAGGAGACAGAGATGGAAGTAGAATTCATGATGCTTTTGGGAGAATACAACTGGTCCTGTAGTGGTCAGGGGAGTCTCTAAGAGGACTAAGTGAAATTATTGATTTCTTATTATGCTCTTGCTTGCAACTCCTTTTTCTAATGTGGATGACTGCATATATTAGAAAAAGGGATTTTATAGGAAACCTAGACAGCTGCCCACATCTAATGTCACTGTTAACTTATGATCTCCAAGGGAGATATCTGGTATAAATGTATCATTTTGAAACCTATTGGTAAGGTCACTGAGTTTGAGCTTATTCCAGTCTTTTATAGTAGCCAGTTCACAAATGAACCCAAATTTAGTACGGGAACTCAATCAGTTAGTGTAGCACAGAAATATCTGGGTCCAATTCCAGTCTCTGACACATACTGGCTATGTAACCCTGGGCAAGTCAATTAGCCTCTCAATGCCCTTGGCAATGATCTGATTATAAGTTTCAGAGACAGTACTGACCTGCATTGCTAAAGGAAATTTCCTCATCCAGTAGTTCCCTTTAATCAATGAAAGCACAAATCTATACCCTAATCCTATCTCAATCAATGATTGGCAGAAATCACTGAAAATGTGGGAAAGGATGAAGACAATGATTTCTGCCATTAGATGGAGGTCCTTTATGTCTCTTATTAATCTAGAAAGGAGGGAAGATGTAGAAATTCCCCCAAAAAATTCCTCTTCTCTATGGAATGAGGAAAATGACTGCATTTTAAGTCTACAAAACCATTAAAACCTTTTGTTCATATACCACACCTGTACCAAATTAGAAAGCAAATATGTTTATCCACATTGATTTTCTATTTCACAAGTCCCCATCAGTAGGAGAACTGAAACTTTCTAGACAGCATTATAGCAAAAAGTGCAGGATTCAGAAAAAGGGCGTAAAAATGATTGGGACCTAAAAAAATAAATTCCAGCATAACATGGTCACAAAATCGCTCACATGCATTGCTTGCATGTCACTTTGGAGAA